TCCCATCTGTGTGTGTGTTTGTGTGTTTCTTTGTGTATGCTCTCACTGTTATTGCCAGGATCAGCTTCTGTCTGTTTATGTTTGTTGTACAGAGTTTCCTTTGCTAAATTGTGTGGAAGCCAAACAGCTCCCATCAGTAAACCAGGCAGAAAGGGCTGCGTATCCCGCTACGGGATCCAGGACATGCCAGGGGGACCACATACACAGGCACATACGCACAATGGGAGTACCTTATTCTCCCTGACTCACAAGCACACATCAACTCACTAATTAACTGACAGTTAGCGAGAAAGACAGACACACACTGTATATATGTGAATGTGTGTGTGTGTGTTTGAGTGCAAAAGGTATATACTGATTATGTTAGGATATCACAGAGAAATCAAGATTATTTGGGTTGATAGACTTTCAGCAAAAACTGAGCAAATGTGCATCTTCCAATTATGCATTACTTCTCTCTCTTACACTCAAAGCGATATAGGTCATGGCTGTCAGACTAAGGATTCTGTCATCAGCCCTCACCCTTCCTCCTTTCTCCATCACTCCTAGCCTGAGGGTTGAGTTCCCATACCTCGTCCATTTGGACCCTCAGTAAGTGTACTGTATGTACAGTAGAGACCTCACACCCAATGCACATCTCACCCACCCGTTCCATTAGAGGAAAGAAGCACTCACTCTGTTCACTGCCTTTAGGAGGGGGAGTGGGAACTACGACCAAAGATAGGCTAATGCCCCATACCCTGTTTCAACACAAGCTATACAAGCATAACTTTTAGTATTTACAAGTTCTTATTTCTTTTTTGGAACCAAGCTAAAGTTGCATTTTGCCTTCTAAATAGTCTTTGTTGTTAGTTCTTTTTTAAACTCTTTGATTAGTGGACTGTGAGTATTGACAGCCTGCTGTGTGTGATCATCACAACAAACTGACAGTAGGGAGCTCGATAGCCATCCGACCCAGCCTCCAATACCATCTGTCTACTATGGATCTCTGGAGGTTGACGTCTGTTGGCTTGGGAGATGTACACACCACAAGCCTCAAGGGCTGGCAGAACAGAGTTGAAGGAAGTGTGTATGCCCCAATTGAAGCTGTTCAGTCATCTTCACACACAGAATAGGGACTGGTGGAGTATACCCACTCTTTTTCATGATCTCTTTCACTGTCTTTCTCCCTCCATCCCCCTCTCTCTCACAGAAAAGCAAAAGTGATCAAACGCTACTGTGATGTCTTAATTAAGAAGTACTAGCAGGCTTGATTAAAAGAAGAGAATGAAAGGATCCATCAATGAAAGGAGTAATTCCCTTATCAGCTAACTGCAACACAAGTGGACGGGAGAGGAGGGAGCGTAAAGGGAAAGTGAAGAAAGAAAACAGGATGCATCAATAGAATGGGAAATATGCAAACAGAGAAGGAACTGAGGCATGACTGAATTCATACAGCAGCGTGACTGATATCACTTCAACTCCTCAACTTCAATAAAGCATCGACAAGCAAAAGTTCAGCGCAATTAAGACTGGACAGGTTTTCATAAGTGGCCTTCTGCTAGGGAGATATAGCTTGAGAATGAGCATATTTTCGTTTGCATGCAGCACTAACAGAGACATTTGGCTGTCAGGGTAATGCCGCTGCATCTGACCCAAGTTTATTTTTGGGTCACAATCTCCACCATGGGTATGAAAACAAACAAACCAGGCCATTACCAGTGATGGGTGGTTCTCTTACTCTCTTTACCCACACCTCCCGCTCTCCTCTTTCACGTGTCTTTGCACTTTTAAAGGATTCAATTAACCTGAAATGAACTAAGGAATCAAGCAAAAAGATACCGCCTGTCTTCCCTTCACTGCCCTATATTCAGCTTTTCTCCACTCCAGTTCCCTTTTGTCCCATCTGCTCCTTCCAGCTATTTCTCATCTTCCTTTTTCTTAACGTGCAACAGTTTGAGGAAATACAGCAAGAGCGAGGGAGAACCCTGTGCTCAGTTAAAGAAAAAGAGAAATAAAGAAAAGCTTACAATGAAACTAAGAAACGTGTTGTTTCCCAGTCAGATCTTTTCATGAAATCTCCACTGGCTAGAAGAAGAAAAAGGCAAATTTAAGAACTTCGGATTTTAGTAAATACACGAAAGAAAGATAAATACTACATGTTTGTAAAAGACACTTTATCAAGGTAATTTGCTGCTCTGAGAGCAATTGGAAGGCTGGATCATCAGTAATTTGAACACTAAACCAGCTCATAGCCACAAAAGCACAGGCCAGACACAGGAAATACCCTCAGTACCCCCAAAGAAAAAGTTGAAGGTGTTTTTCTGAAATGTTTAATCATCTATGAGATTTTTAACATAAAATAGCAGCAAACAGCCATTTGTTATGGTAAGATGGTATTCTTTGACAGTAAAGTCACACCCTCGATGTCTGCCATAATCAAAAAGCTTGTTACAGCTGCGTGTGCACATTACAGCATCTAAGTCCCTTCACACAAGTGACCTCACATAATGCAGTGTAAAAGGGAGATGACATAGCAGACTACCCCCCAAAATAAACAAGAATTGTAAAAAAAGAGAGAGATGTGATTATCCCACTTTAAAACACAAAGCATTGGAATTAATGAAATGATTGTTATCATTATTTTCACCAAAGGATAAATCAGATGAGTGGTTATTGGAGGCAATGTGCCTACTTAAAGGAACTTGCTAATTGGCTTAACTTGGTGACTACATTTATATTTTTATATAGAGGCTTTAAAACACAAAGCATGTGATTTATGCATGAAGTATTTTAGTTATGTTATGTATATCTACTCTCTTTAATTTCAGTTCAGTGTCTGCTGCTGTTTCTTGCTGATAATTGTTAGTTTTAGCTCTGCATCATTCAATTTGATTTAGATGTAGTATATACTACCAATGCAATGAGTTTCCACTAAAAACTATTTTTAAAAATGCAAAAAAAGAGGGAACTTCTTTGACACCTCAGAGGTTGTTTACAGGTCTTGCGACGTACCTCTTCAATGTGTGGATTCCAACTGATCTGTGATGTGCCATTTGTTTGAAAATCAACTTTATATGTCTCCGTGTCCTCTTACAGAGGCAGCAGACACACCTCTGCCCCACTGACAACCCACAGCCTGACTTTGCAGTGCTGCATACCTCAGCACAGCTGTCTGTTGTCCGTTTCTTCCGATCTCTATCTCTTCCTGCCTCACTCCCCACTTTGTGCCCACTCAGCATGATAATGATATACACCTCTGCCCAGTCATCTCTTTGTAACTCTGGTACAACTCAAAGTATGACAGCAAAGGCAACATACTGTACATTGCGTATCTGTTTACCCTACCTCAAGGAAAATGCAGCTTAATGCAGTGTTTTTTACATTAATGGCAAAACATTTACTTCAGAGTGCCTCTATACTTGGGGAAATGTGTGACAGACGTACTTAATCCAGTAGACCTGAGGTGGAGTAAATCCGCTATCTTCATCTTTAACCTTGTTAACATTACTTAAATCATAAACAGCTTTTCATCCACGGGGCTTTAGCTACACCAGTGAACAGCCATAGCTCCCTCTATGGGGCAGTATCTTTAAAGGGACACACTAAGATTACTTGTGTCAGCATTCTAGCTTAGCGGTGGCATTGTGTTGACACACAACAGATGAATATAAAATCTTACAAAAAACAAAAATGTGCTTGAAGCAAAGCCCTGCAAAAGTATTTTTTATATACACAAATATAGTACACACACACACGCACACGCTCACACAATCTTGAGTGTCCCTCCCAGCAGGCACAGTCACACTCAGGCAGATAATTCAGTGTCACAGAGAGCCTTGTCTCTGACCCTCTGGCCCCCTCTAGACAGAGGAAGCAGCTGGACAGGGACCCACGGCTGCCTAGAACTCACTTCCCTTGGGGAGCTTAAAGAAGAAGAGTCCCTCTCTGCCTCAGAGAATGACCAGCTGAGCATCAGTATGCCACTGTACGGCTATGTCCCTGTGTCCAGAAAGGCCTAAGCAGGATGAGAAAGTCTTCAAAATCTGCAGCAGCACAATGCTTTGAGTTAACACCCTGATGAAAAATATATCACAACTAGCTTGGTTTTGCAATTAGATCCATTCTATTCTGTGAATATTCTCTGCCCACAGCTCATAGGATTGGATTTTTTCTTTGTGATTGTGTTTGAATATTTACCTGCTGTTCAGAGGTGCAAACCACATTACTTACAAAAGATTTATTTTACAAAACAAGGACATATAGCTAATGATGTACCCATTTTGCACCCATGATTAGCAATGACTACACCCATTTTTAGGTCTAAGACACATCCATGCAGTTCTGTAAAACCTAGAACCTATACAGTATATGACAAAGGAATGACGTTTTTCCAAGTAGAAATCTGCAGTAGCAGTGATAACCAGTACATGTAAACATACTGAGTGTGAGACTCGATATTTTTAAATGCACGCATGAACACATGCGCACACACACAGAGCCCCTTACTAAGTGCGTATTAATATTGTATGTTTAAATGGGAAGTGCTAAGATTTTTTCAATTGCCTTGGCAGCCTGATGAAATATTAAACATTCAGAGAGTTTTTGTTGTAGCGTAATACCAAGGAAGGGTAAACATGAAATAAATAACGGATTTTAAAGGAAATGTGACACATAATGCTGAAATACTTCCTTTTAGTTCAGACAGATATCACTTTTTCAAGATTTACAAATAGCCAACAAAAAAATTAAATGTACAGTTTTGGTGCATTTCAGCATCACTTAAATAAAGCAACTGAACTCACTCAATCGTAACTTCTGATTCCTGAATAGTGTTTGCACCGTTTGGTATGATTAGGCTTTTAATACATTGACATAGCTGCTATTACTAAGTTGGCTTTAAATCTTATGCATATTTGCCCCTGCCAGCTCTGCCATTAGCAGTTCCACAGAGATGCAGCGTCTCTCACTACTGCATCTTAATCAAATCTTGAATCTTGATCTTAATCAAATGGGCACGATTAACTTTTTAAAAGAATTAACACTTTTATTCAAAAATGAAAAAGTCAAGAACAAGTACAAATATAAACAAAGCAGACAAGTCAATCTGAGTCCGAGTCGCTCTGAGTTTTAATGATCCGTTCTGTTGGACTTTCACTCAGGGTCCCAAAACTATGTGGTGGCCAGAGCTGTACGGGACAAAGGGCGACAAAGAAAGAATGGATTAAAAGAAAGAGAAGACTGGCATAAGTACAGAATAAAGGTGCTTCTAACCATATTGCACACTTTATCACACGGTGTGACACATTTGCTAATATGAATTTTAATGACACCATTGACATCATAGCAAATCCTGTGATTTCATCAGCTGTCATAGTAGGGCCTCCAGTGGAGTGCTGCTGTCCAATCAGATGGACAGAAGGTTGGCTGACCCGTTTACAGGGTCGTGGTTGATATGACATCCAGTGACACGACAACATAGCAGAATGGAAAGCTAAACAATATGTTGGCTAGGCTTTGGTCAATCAGATGCAGTTGCTTTGAACTTTTAACTGACTCATGGCATTAAATTGTGCTTAAAACAGACATTGTTTGATAATAACAATAATTTAAAAAAATAATAAAAGACTAGAAACACACACACACATATATAGGTTGGCCATGAGCTCAGTCACTAAAACTCTTATAGGAAGAAACTCCATAAATACCCCACACATTTGTTATGCTTTTTTAAATATACATATATGACAATGTAGAGTAGACCTCCCCCATTACCTTTAAGCAAACACGCCCTCGGATGAGGGCATAGGGAATTGGGCCATAGTTCCTTGAGTCAGTAGAATTCCTAAGGTTATCCCCTTCTAGCCACACATGGCCTTTTGGAACCTGGAAACATTGGCACAAAAGGCAAAAAAAAAAAGTTCATAATGTAAACAACTCCAGTCCACAAAAACAGAATGAGATAGAAGTCTTATAGTCTTAAATTGCACCATTACTCAACTTTAAGAGACAAGTGATTTGATCTCATTTAGCGAGAACCCCTCCCCATATTCCAGACAACCCTCCCTCCTTAGCCTATCTTAACGTTAACCTGCTTGTCCCTCTTTAACCTTGCACCGTCTTAGGAGAGGGGTCATGGGTAACGGGCAGGGTCGGCGAGAAGGGATTTAGAAGAACTTCAAACAGGGTCATTAGGCTGTTGGCTGAGATCTGAGCCCCTTTTACCCAAGGAGGGCAAAGCCAGAGAGAGGCCTGAGATAGCTGGGCAGCAAAAAGAAAGGGAGCAAGAGAGGAAGAGAGAGAATGAGGGAGAGCTAAGCTGCGGCTAGCAGCAGTGTCCAAGGGTCTCCACCGCAGTCCGACCTGCCAGTGGGGCGGTCATCCGAGCGCTCTCTAATTCACAGTGACACCAATTATGATTAATCTCATCACTTTAGGAGAGTGGGCTTGTCAAGTCCCTAATTAAGTGCGCTGTCCTCCCTATATGTGCAGACAGGATCAACAACACATTATATTGTCATAATGGGCATCACAATCCGCGAGTCTATTTTTGTGTTGCCTAACTTTTTAACGGCAAAAGTACTCTGGAGGAAGAGAATAACGTGAATAAAGACAGAATATTATCCGCACTGAGGTGACGTCACATCTTTCCCTCTGTATTCCTTATCAGTCGGCTCTCTGATTAGAGTCTTGAGTACTACTGTGGGATGCTGCATTTCATTTCATATTTGATAATTGAGACAGATGATGTGACATAATCACAAGCCAGTGACACGTTGACCTAACACGAGGTAAACAACTCACTGAATAACGACGACACAAATGAATATCATTAAAGGAGTCATCTGAGAACCATATGTCAGCATGCTGGATTCTCACCATTACACCTCATTAACATGGTAACATATGCTGGCTCCCAAGCACAGGAAAAAGAAACACAACCGTTTGTCATCTGCCAAATCAGAACCCCCCGTTTCTCCACATTCTCATCTTTTTTAAAAATATTATCTCTACTGTGCTTATCTTAAAGGTTACTTAGTCAGTACCTCTTAAGAATTTGTGCGTAGTGTAAAAATCATTGAAAAGCAAAAACTCCTGATGGCAAAATTTCTATTTAAAGGCCTAATCAAAAACACTGATTCAGACCAGCAACGTCTGACTGACAACAGCACTTTGTTTCAGCGTTTATGAATCAAACCAAAACCTGAGTAAAGTCTGACTTTAAAGATCCACTAGGCAGTATTTCACCAAGTGAAAAAGTGAAGAGGTCTGAAACTTGAACCTGCTGCACTGCGACCAGCATGAGGATGAACGCTTATTCATATCACTTTGTAGGTGTGTGAATAATCCAAAGGAAAAAAAAATTTAAAAAATTAGCAGGTCAAGAGAAAATCTCTTAATTACAATGAAATGGATGCAAGATAGTCACAAACCAAACAATGCACATTTCAAAGAGTGTTTTTCAAAGAAAACTGCAGTTTCAGGCACAGGTAAAGAGAAGACTATGAGGAACGCTCGATTTCTTTTTGGGTACACATCAAGGTTGTAATTAAGATGTTTCTCTGTCCACAGGGTGTTGACATAAACCAGTAATTTGTCATTTTACCACATAATAGCACCAACATGTTTGATTTTGACAGAGGAGCCGTTATCAACAAATGTCATTTCTAACCACATGTATTTCCAAAAATCCTGTTAGGCTCAAAACCAGAGCTGTTGCAGTTAGAGGCGGAGTCACTTTGATCAGCTCCGCCTGCGACTCTGGTGTGATGGATGGCAATGACTGCACCCATCCTGTGGTTGCAGGTTGGGTTGACGCCAGGCATTGTGTAGCTGTCAGAGACATGTCGAGAAGAGCTGAAACAGGAGCTGTATTCACTGTGGAGGTGTGTTGTTTAACAGCTACACCATTAAAGTGCTCATTATGTTAACATGATTGGGGTGGGGAATTATGTTAAAGCTTAATACAGGAATACTGAGTTCATCTTTCATCATATTGCTCTGTCTATCTTTACTGCAAAGAACAGAAAGCATAGCGTCATTTCATCGCTCTTATTTCTTGTCTCTCCATCTCTGGTATAATATTAGGGATCAAGTGTCATTGTTTTGACACAATAGCTCTGACACAGAAATCATTCCTAAAAGGTGACAGGGCAATTAGTGTGTTGTTGGATAGCTGAGGGTGGAGAGGGCCTGCCTGTCTGTCAGAACAGAAAATGAGGTGTTGACAGGGTGTAACACTCCCTTCCAAAATTCATCTTTACAGGTCCACCCATAATGCCTCACACTATTGTAATAATCACACAAACAGATCTATCCATCTGCTGGTGGGTAAAAAGCACCAAACACACATACTTATATATATATATATCGCATATGCACTTTGTACAACAGTGTGTAAATACTGCCTCTCTTTTCTCCAACCACCCCACAGGTTGCAGCTTGAGTAAAAGCTGCAACATATATACATACATACATATATATATATATATATATATATATATATATATATATATATATATATATATATATATATATATATATATATATATATATATATATATATATATATATATATATATATATATATATATATATATATATATATATATATATATATGCCACTAGGTGGATATATATATATATACACATATATGGAAGATTATATACGTATGTATATAGTATGAAAATGCTGTTTGTAAAAGAGAAAATATATACATATCCTTTTTCATCCAGTGAATGCCGCTTACAGGCCTTGTGTCTTAAGTCTTTTAAATACACAACAGATTTAAAAACCATGCAAGATAAAAATCTTCGGTTCACACATACACACAGACCCACACACACACAGCCTCCCGCCCATCAGTCTGTCCATTCGGCTGGCACTAACTCTAACAGGCTTCAGAGAGATTGCAGGCCTGAGCTGTGGGTGTTGGGGAGAGTAGTAATAGAAAAGCAATGACAGTGGTTTCAGCAGCAGAACCCCTGTTCACTCTCTGGTTTTATCACTGTTCTGAGGAAATATAGGTGTTGTCAAAACTGATATTTTGACCAATGACACAAAATGGATGTGTGTGGTCTAAAATGTAAACAACAGGATGATAGCCTATAGACTGTGGTACACACAAAGAATAAGCGAGGGACAGTTTTGCATTATGCATAGAGATTCTGCTTGTCATTTTTAGGGTGAAACAAACTATCAAGTGTTTTGCTGTAAACACCTTCTTCAATCACTTTCTATTTGCACTGTATCTTTTTAACCTTTTTTTCCCTTTCAAAGACAGTCACTGAGTTGTGGTTGTTTGAAGTAAAACTGCAAAGCCGCCACCAGAAACCTTACTTGGTAAATCAGGTAATCGCAATATGTATAAGAAAAGCAGCTAAGAAGCATGACATCTTCAGAAAATGTGGGCGTAATGATGATGATCGTGATGAAAAGATACTTACATATGTGTGGGTCTTGAACAAATCTGATGGGGAACTTGTGCAGACCTTGTCACCCTCCAATCCAATTACCCTTTTACAAATGTTCATATTTGGGTCAAATGGACTTTTTGCAATGACTATATCACCCCTGAAAGGAAACCATAAAACACGATTATTTAATAAGAAAATGCAAAAAATCCCATATGATCTAAGACACCATTTGAAATGACTAGTAGGATATTAGTATTGTTGTGCTTTCTTTTATTTTTAGGGGGAAAAAGCAGAGAAATGGTCACAAATCAAGCAGTGAATCACAAATGCACACTGAAATGTTAAAATGTGTGCTATAAATATTCTAAAATGCTTGCTGTCATCTTTTTTTCCCCGACTGCATAAACTAAGTGCAACCTACTTTTGTATTTTGCAAAGATGCCGACTCATCCGTTCAGAGAAGACAATATCCTCGTTGACAATGGTGGGCTCCATGGATGGACCAGAACACTGAATAAAAGCCAAAAAAAATTCTTTCTTAATTATTTCTTGTAAAAATAAAAAAAAGTCATTAAATCTGTAATCTTTTAATACGAACCACGACTAACTCTCCAATGTATTCAAAAGCACAGTGTGCAATGCAGCCATACTGGATTGTGTAGCCCACAAAACCAAAGGTCTTCCCCAGCACACGGCGGAACATCTCAACCTACAGAAGAAAGCAGCCATGGATTATAATGCACTGTCATCGAAGTACATGCTTGATCCATTTATGGTAGGCTTATGTTCTTTATGGGATTTCTAAAAACAAAAGCTGTTTTAGGGTTAATGCTTGAAGGTGTGGACAAGGTTGTCACAGTTGGCCTACTGCTAAGATGGCACATTCTATGGTGTTTCATTCACAGAGGCTGAGCGGCCAGTTCACACCAGAAAACTGCCCTGAACTTTGATCCTGCGTAGGATGGACCAATCAACACCTTGTGCTCAGGTGATGGACAAACACAGAAGCTGTGACACATCCAGCCAAGCAGCTCTGCACTGTCGGCAGCTAGTCCCTGACACTGTGCTGCCTCCATCACCACCACAGTCATTAGAGTAGTTATCAACTTCTGTCAGCACCATAGAAACAAAAAGACACCAAAAGCACCCAAACAACTGCCCTGCAAACACTGCCACATGAACACACACAATGAGCACCCATGTGTCTTCTAAGCAAACATCCCAGGCACACTTAGGTTATTGACTTTTACTCAAGCTGCAACCTGTGGGGTGGTTGGAGAAAAGAGAGGCAGTATTTATTTACACACTGTTGTACAAAGTGCATATGCGAGCCCACACACACACAAACACACGCACACACACCCCTGCGTAAACACAAATGCAAACTGAAGAACAATAGATACAGCTTGGTTTTGATGTTAGCCTGCACCTCAAACATTTTCTTTTAGCTCACGCCGCTGTCCTGCCAGTCCACCACAGGGTAAAGAAATCTTCATCTCCATCTCTTCTTTTCCTCCTGTCTCTTTCCCTCTTTCTCTCTCCATGTCTTCTCTCCCTCCCAGGGTATTATTAACCAAAGCAAGCAGAGCGGAAACCAAAGCCCCAAATCCTCAGAGCTCTGGGAATGACTTCCCAAAGATGGACAAGGATTAGACCCCCGATTTCTCCTTTGCCCCCACCACCTCCACTCCCTTTCTCCCCAGGTTCTCAACAGACCGGGTGTCAGGTGGCTCTCCCAGCCCTGCCAAAGGTGTTACCCCTAATCCCATTACCCTCCTCCACTCCTCTCCACTCTCTCACACACACACAATGCTCTCTCATTCATTCTAACTATACATGACCTATTATACCCTCTATTCTTTTATCCCTAGCATGGTTTGTCTCTGGTCTATTCACCAACCTTTCTGATCCAAAAAAGAGCAACTCCATCCTTTCACCTCCCTCTGTGCTGCTACTCTGTTTCTTTCCCCGATCACCACTGGCAACCCTCTGCTTTTCACTACTACTTCAAATGACAAAGCTTGAGCAGGTGAAGGGAGACATATACGGTCAGGACAGGGCCCAGATGAAGTGCCCTCTTCCACTTGCAGCTTGCTCCGGTCTTGTTCTGTTCCACAGGAACTATAAACTCAGTCCTCCCCCAGCTGGTACAATAACACCTCTGGCCCCATAATTCCTCTGTTGGGACGCAAATGGTCTAAAGGTTAATGTGAACCTCAGGTCTGCACGAAAGCAACATGTTCATCTATATTCGTCTAGCTCTCAGCTTACTCCACCAGGTTCTCTGCCATTCTGTTACTGTATTGCAGTCTCAGACATGATCTCACATGTGCTCTTCCCTCTGCTAGACCAGGGATCAGGAATCTTTGTTAGCACTTATTCTCAAAGCACAGTGGACAGCCTCCCGTACAGCTGCCCTCATATCTCTGTTTCATCACCCCCCTCCATTCCAGCATGCATTCATCATAGGTAGGGATTAAGGGACTTTGCATAACAAGATCACACGGCCAGTGACTGATATCAAGAGAGTCCATATGCAGCCGGCTGGTTTTCTGAGGCACCCTCTGTCATTGATAGTGTGTGTCTGTGTCTGTGCGTGTGCATGTGGTGTGTTGGTGTGTCAATGTGCACAGAGAATAGCATTACCTATGTGTTTCATGGCAAGTGTATATGTTAGCTGCAGAGACTCCACTGGGATTCAGAACAAGGTGGACATCCACAGAGACCTCTGATGTGATCTCTATTAGCTCTAAATCCCCTGGGCAAAGAGTCAGATAACCCACACTATCTCGGTCTTCTAATAACCAGCGCATGTTTATTAGGGGGATATCAACATTAAATGAATGCTGTATTACAGCTGTAAATTCACAAAAAGTCTCACTGTTAATCCAGGATTACATGCCAAACATGTTCATGGGAAAAAAAAAAAGCTAGTGTGGCGCTCGCTGCAGAACCATCTGTGGCCATTGGCCTCCCATTGTCACAGAACAGTGCTACAGTGACGAGAAAGGGGGAGCCCAAATGAGTAGCTTTTGATGGAAACATTTCATTGTGTGTTTAACTCTGTGATCTTACTCCTGAAGAAGCCCTGCTCATTCAGAGCAGAAATCATAAGTAGATGAATTAGGAGGGGGTGAATTCTGCTATACCAAATATGAGCATAAAGTGCTGCAGCAGTGGAAAAGCCTATCAGGACATTTAAACCTCTGTCAAAAACATTATTAGTCCAAAATTTGAGAACACATACATAAAAAAGGGTTCCTGAATATTGCAATGACAACAAGGAGAAAGAAATAAAAGCCAATCAAAAAAAAAAAGTGTTTCCAATGTTTTCTCTTTAATTTCAGCAAAAGTAATGCTGCTTCAGTACTATCAGCTTACTAATGGATCGACATGAGATGTTTCTTAAAGGTTGTAATTAAGAAACTGAACTATATTATGTATTTGCTTGGAAAAAACATAGGGGGAAAACGCCTCAAAAATGAAGATAATCAGTGAAATGATTCCACTGCAGATTTGTTTCAATTAGAGTCTGCCAATATATGAACAGTAAACAAACAAACAAACAAACAAAAAAAACAACCCCAGAGAAAAACAGCCAAAAGCCAATAAAAGCTTATCACAACTGACACCTAATTAAACTCATATTATTGAAGCCATAAGGAAATATTCAGAAAGGAATTACGGCTACTAGTCTCAAGAGATTTGACCCTGCCATGGCTGAATAGTGTTAATTGATATACATGGCCAGTCTATTAGAGCCACAAAGGGAATTTCAATCCAAACAGCACACAAGGGCCTTGCGGTGGACTTCTTACACAACTAAATTAGGAAAACATGGGCTGAGAGAGAACTGGGCAACAGGGGGGCTAAGAGGCTTACGAGCCCCTTGTCAGATATTCTTCTTCTCCCTAAGGATCCCAGATGGAAGGGAGTCTGGAGAAGCAGGCAGAGCAGAGACGGGATGAATCCTACCTCTGATGTCTTCCTCTGGGCAGCAGAAGGCAGGGGAGGGTGGGGCATAAGTCCTGTTGCGCAGAGCTTGACTTGATCTTAATGTGAGCTATAAAAAGGAGGAGGCTTGGCAACACAGGGGGTCTGTTTCAACTATCAGTGCAATCACAGATAATCCTGCTGATTTAAACACAGACACCTGGCTTGATGGGGAGTGACAGATGTAAAAGTCCCAGTCACTGAGTACCATGTCTGGTCCCCATCTCTCCTAGGTCTGCCTTCTATCAGAAGCTTAATTGAAGGGACTGATCTCCATATTGCTCTTTTCATTGTTGCTAACGGCAACACAACCGTGACAAAGCTAAGCGAGGTTACTATTTGGGGCCGAGGATTTAAACCTGCAATCAATGGGTCAACCAGAGCAAATAATAGCAAAGTGATATGAATACAACTGCTATGAATTGAAAGGAAGTGTAGGTTGACAGAGTCCCTGGCCAATAATACTGAATGGGGGAAAAAAATCAGTCACTAAGCCTTATTGTGCAGAGCACAAGTGATTGTGTTGTGCTGGCCTTGTGCTGACAGATTTTATCTGGTGTTGTATCACATTCACAAAGTCGCTTGGGTTATGCACTGTCCAGCTAATGAAATGGCCTTTTATATTTTAACAACTACTGACAGGAACCTCAACTGTAAAGCAAACCTACAATTTTTAAAAATGCGATTTCCTTTGACTCATGTTTCCATACTTTCTACGTCCCTTTTGTATAGGTCAGCTAAATATGACTCACTGTATTTTAAAACTACATCTGTAGAAAAAAAAAACCAGGAAACCGAAATAAAGCTATTCAAAATATGGGATGGTGAATACATGGAAAAAGGCAAATCCTTAGACAAAATTAGTTGTGTACAAGACCTGTCCTATGCTGATTGCACTTGTTCCTTTAGAATAATGCTTTTCTTTCAGTGTTAACAAAACAAATATGTGCATGTTGATGATAATCTTGCATCCTCCCAACACACAAACGGAGCCGCTTCTCGCAGTTCAATGCTGATGGCAGAATTAGACTAAAGAAATCCAAACAGTCAAACCAGGAAAGGTCTGACATGTTATGACTGCTGCCATTATATTGCTCAATCAGATACAGATTAAAATGACAAAAACACCACAGAAAAACACTAGATCACACTTTGAAAGGGGGGAAATTTGTGCTATTTTTTCTGCAGTTAGACTGCTTTGTGTACACTATCATACACTGAAGAGTGCAACAGAGCCAAAGGCTTAAACTGAGATTTAAGAGAATTAAAAAGGAGATGAAAGGAAATGTACAGAGAATGTAGGGAAAGAGACGCATTCATACATCCCGCAAGTTGCACTGCTGAAGCAGGTCCTCCTCCTTTTGAGACCCAGGCCAGTCAGCGCATCTTATTTGCCTCATATAGGCTTACCACAATGCCCAGCGTTGTCAGTCATGATATATTCCCTTGGTCCCCTGTCAGCACACATAAATCTCACAGTGCTGTCAAAACAGCAGGACTGTCTGCTGAGAGCATTTGTAAAGTGAGCAGTTGGGCAATTGTTTCCTCTGGAGCATCACAGCATCCTGCGATCTTATGCTGCCTCTGGCCTCTCTCTGCCACACAAACCTTTTTGCAGATGTCTTAAGGATCACACCATTCACTCACCAGTCAACTTTTCCTAACACTAGCTTTTCCTAACAAAACAGTAGGAGTTCTTCACAAAATAGTTTTTGTCATGAACTGCCAAATTCACATTTTGAATTCTCTGGAAAAGCACAAATGCTCCTGATATTATTCAATCCCATTCAAATTTCCCACGGCAGTGTGACAGTGAACTAGCATGCAGAATATGAGTACCTTGAAATCAAAGGAACTTACTGCAATTTATCAGCTTTTTATGTTATTATATATGTATCTGCCAAAAACCCATGTGCATTACACTCTACATAAAAGTGTAAATCTACCCTAAAAACTGACTTCTGATCACACTAAAGCAGTCAAACTATACTTAATTATTGTAAATTAATCCTACTGGCAACAGAGATGCAAACAGCTACTTGAGCATGTTGAATAAAATTAAAAATAAACTAATTAGGTGCAAGGGTTTTTGGAAGAATAACAGTAATATAATTTTTGATAATGCCTTCAATTCCACATAAAGGCTAACACAAATGTCTCCTATTCCATTATTTACCTTCACCTTCAACGGCCACAGTCATAAATACATTTGACATGAGAAACAGATTACAGGTTGGGACAGGGGCATGTGTACTATTATGTTATATCACATTTATCTCAGTTACTGGATATTGTTTTAGGGTTGGGAAACTAAGAAAAACATTTTTCATGCTATTGCTTGATGTAGTTTTTTACTGGCTTCCTGGGGCCTCTTCTTTAATCTGCAAATATTTTCCAGTTGTTGTCTGGTCTTGATTGCACAAAGGCCAGTTTAACACTGGGTCTGTGGAGCTATACTTTTATAATCTATGATTTGATACTACTTGCTGAAAAAAAGCAAGGCCTCCCTTGAAAAGGTTGTTGTCTATGGGGTGGCTGCAGCTCAGGTGGCAGAGCGCTTACTAACCAGGTTTGTGGTTTGATCCCAGTCTGCTCCAGTCTGCATGCCAAATATCCTTGGGCGAGATACTAACACCAAGTTGCTCTCTGAAGCACTTGTTGTTGATTGATTTGTTGCTAGTTGTCCTTTTGCTTTTTAACACACAACCTTTTATTCTTTTAAAGTCCCTGTGTTAATTCCTGGCATAAAATTAAAACATTAATTGGGCTTGAATACTTTGAAAATCCTTACATCAAGATGGCCATCCTTTAATGCAAAACAGAATATAAAAACAACAAATCACTACTACAAATATTGTGATGTACTTTTTTACAGCGCAATAGAGAACTGTGCAAGTCTTAAGTCCCATAATTTAATGGGAAAATGGTAAATAGGTACAGTTTGAGCAAACATGCTCAAACATACAATATATAGATATATATATATATAATACAATATATAAGCCCCCCCCCCCAAAAAAAAGCGTTTGGAAGGCAACATTTGGTATGACCACCTGTATTCTTCAACACAGACTGAATTCTCTTAGACAAGCTTTCTTTCATTAGTCTCCAGGAATAGTTTTACATCTTCTTAAAAGTTCTTTTTTGGATGTTGGCTGCCTTTTGTATCATTCTCTGACAAGATGACCCCACACTAATTCAGTAATGTTGAGGTCCAGGCTCTGGGCTGGCCAGTCAATGACTGATATTGCGCGTTTTCTGTGTTCATAATTCCATCAATCTTGAAAAGATCCCCTACAGCACTGGCTGCATGCAGCTTCAAACCACAACAGAGCCTCCGCCGTATATTTTAAAGATACCTGTATATGTTCATCGGTGTACCCTTCTCTTGACCTCTATACATAATGATAATTTGAACTAAAAATTAAAAATTTGGATTCATCATTTGACAATACCTATTGCCACTGATTTTCAGTCCAGTCTTTGTGTAATTTAGCATACCTCCGCTTTTTATCCGTTTCCCTTCATTAGGAATGTCTTCTTGACAGCCACCCTTCCAGTGAGATTATTTTTAAGTATTTTTTTTTAACCATTGCTTATGGACATGACTTTCAGATACAATAAATCTCCTGTAGATATTGAGGAGTGGCTTAATACCGCAACACATTATCGTACATTATCACGAAATATTCATATTATTTAGAATTTCAACGTAATGCATTTGTGTATTAAATTACAAAACGATTTAAATAGTCTCTTTTACAAATATTTTAACACTGTATAGTATAAAGGTAAAGCAATTCAGTTTAAGCTGCTTAACATACAAGTATTGTCATTCATTAACGTATTTATAAAACACAATGTTCAGATTTAGTGTAACGAGGTCATAATCAGGAGACGCGATATACTTTTAGGGACTGAGCGACTTCTGAATAACTCCTGTTATAATAACAACAACAGATAAGCTTAGGTTTTTGTAGAAAAATATAAAAACAAGACATTTAAACTATATAATGAGTGGAGTTGTACTCACTTTGTAGCGTGTGACTAAAAGCTCTCACCGGGCACTTACAATAACAGTTGAACTTCCCTTTTACGACTTCCAGGAGCGGCACTGTAACAACAGCGGATGTCATTGGTTGAGCCTCACCAAACTCCTATTTGATTGGATAACACGTGCCAAAACATCAGCACGCGTCAGCACGTTACTGACAGTATGGCAGCCCCCGTGAATAGTGTGGGTAAACCCTCAGCCGAACGTCCACCGTTCAATAGTACGAGTTTTCAGAAGAAAACAAGGAGCAAGTTAATATCCATACCTGGTACTAGACCTTCGGTTCAAAATGGACAGCTCCTAGTCTCCACCGGTGTCACGTCACTCGACTATTTGCTCGGTCAGTCTATCATTAGGATGCTAGCTACAAAGGCTAGCAGTATTTCTCAATCTAACTTTCGCATGCTGGATTTCACGTTACTGCAACGTACTGTATTCATATTATCAATGCAATGAGAATGAGAAGAAAAGCCATTATATTAAGGACGAGTTATGACGTTTGACATTGCCAGGACAAGACAAATATGCTTTTATTTTAAACGCATAATGCATCTTCTAATTAGTACTAGATGGAAAAGCTGTCTGTGAGAAAACAGTGAAAACAACTAGGTAATTTTCACAATAAATGTTGATTATAACAAAATACCCAGAGGGCCTTATTCATTCCCAGTTAAATCCATTTCCCTATTAATTTTTGTGGACATTATATAATCAGTTACATTCTTATTAGTTGTCTTGCACTGTGGTAAGCTAATTCGATAGTGTGGCACCTGCTGAGTTGTTGCTTTTCTTAATTCAGACTAAATCTATTAAGGCCACTTTAGTCTTAGGTTAGGTGTGGGTTAAATGGAGCAAAAAAAAAGGATATCTGCCATTTTAAGGTCTAACTCTTAATGAAGCTCCTGGCATAACAAAATAGGGCAGGTTTATTATTCAAATAGTCATTTCTGTAAAAAGTACGGTTGCCTGAAAGCATCTAACAGTTGAAAAAAAAAAAGTACTACAATTATATTCACATGTTCATGTTGTCTCTGCCAGCTAAACCTGTGAAAAAATATTTCTCCACAACGTCAAAATACTCTCTAGTTATGACAGAACCTTTGTGACAACTGTACTGTCTATTAATTGTTTACCTGTCTGTCAGTATGTTGCACCTGTCGTTCTAATTTGTCATTTGACAAACGTTTTGTCAGATGAGCAGCTGATGTGGCCATCAAAATAGTTTTTCACAGAAAGTACAGTTCCTGGTTGAACAGACAGACAAATGTTTTGACGCGTCTTTACTGAACAGTGATTGGCAGTGCTCGTGGAAACATAATCTTATCACGACTTGGAGCTTGTAGAGAGTTGCTGTTGTGCTCACTGGGTTCATGGGTTCATTTGACATAGTGACAAGTCTAAGTGTCTCTTGTGTAGATCCAAAAGGACAGAGATGTTAGCAGCAGTTGAACAAAAGGAGGGTTCATAGTGATTTGGATATATTGTATATATGAGACTAACATGTAAACAATATTTTGTTTTTTGTTTCCGCAAACAGGTGGTGGATTAGCAGTTGGAACAGTGCTTCTCATAGGTGAGCATGTCACTTTAAATGTCTAAGTATTGACTAGTTTATGGTTTCTGTTAATTGGACCAAAGAGCAAGAGGAGGTCCTTTTTTACCAGCTGCTATAAGACTGTTTAATGTACAGTGATGCCAGTATGATGTTATCTATGTTTTGCATACTTGCTAATTAGTTAGTGGCTGTTATTTATACATGTATTAACATTATTATGATTAAATATTGGTTTGGTCTTTGAGATATGTGGTAGCAGACATGTGTTGCTACTCTGGCAATAAAGGATCTATCTAGCTAGCTAGCTACCTAGCTCACTATCTAGCTATCCTGTTAATTCAGGTTGAATGGGCTCAATATGAGAAAGCTTGAAATCAGTCTTAAAAGATAATTAAATATTTAGGGGTCCAAGTAACAAATAGTTCTAATCACCAAACAGACACTGTAATTTTTCAGCGTCTTCCTTCTTCTTCCTATTATTATTATTGCTCCAGTGTTTTACTCCACACATCTTCAGAAATGCTAGGGTCTGCTGAGTGACTTGAATTGAATCAATAGAACGTGTTTGTGAGGCTTTGTGTTGATGTCTGCATCCACTGCAGTTTGTTGTGAATGCAAGGATCTGTCCAGCCACAATGCAACAAATATACAAACTTCACATGCTTCCTCCAATCAGACTCCAACTCAGTTAAACATATCCCTGCTGCCCACAGCTGTCAGGAAGTTTAATCCTAAAATTTTGGGTCAAAAGTGAAGCTTTGGCAGCCCTAAAATTGTTTTGATTCCTTTTCTTATAAATTATATTTCTGCCATAAAATTGTTTGTGCAACAAAATAATTTCTTGATACAGTCATATAAAAAAGAATGTTTTCTCAGGACTCTGTAGTTATGTGAAAAATTAAGTATATACCCCATGATTCAGTAGCTTATAGAACCACTTTTAGCAGCAATAACTTGAAAGAATCATTTTCACATTGTTGTGAATGAGTTGGTCTACTTTTTTTTACAATGTTGCTTCAGTTCATTAAGATTTGTGGGTATGTGTTCATGCACTGCTCTCTTACAGCCTTTTAAGGTTCTTTAAAAACAAGCCATACTTGGTCAGTCTTTTTCTAACTGCACTGTCATGAACTTTTAACATTTAACATGCTAACTAAGCCCTCTGGATTCTGAGATGTAGGTCTGGCCTTGGGATGAATTTGCTAGGACTTTCACTGTTTTCCAGTTGAGAGCAATGTTTCTTACTGTGGACTCCAAGCTATTTGATTTTGCTGCTGTCTTTCCTTCTTAGTATTATTTACAGAAATGGTCACACTTGCTGACAGACAGTTAAGTGAGTTAAGTTATTCAAGTTCATTTGATTAGCAGCGCCCTTTTAATTCCTATGGAATAGGGCTGAACGATATATCGCATTTGCGATAATATCGCGACATGATCAAGTGCAATTTTCTAACCGCAAAGGCTGCGATTATACTCTGGACATGTCCAAATTCATGGGCTGCATCCTCCTGAGGCCGCATTTGTAGACCGATTACGTCACAGCGACGCGCCGAAGGCTGTCCAAATTACTACCATATCCCAGAATTCATAGCGCGGCCCAGCCAAACTCCAGTTTCCAGCAATGGCGGCCGCTACTGAGTTTTAAAATTACTCATACTAATCTTTCTGGGTCACAAAATAAACTTTTAACATATTTTCAGGCGAGAAAGTAGTTGTGTAAACATCAAATATCTGCTCGGTTTATCAAGATATCCCATATTTGCAAAAGTGCTTCGACGTTTTCAGAGGCGTCTGCTACCCACCAGCTCGACAGCTAGCCGGGAGCTCGAGGGTTACTGATGCGGCCGAGAGCGGCACAACTCCCGGCACATCATTTTCAGATCACCGCGGAGTTTCGCTGCTCGGGTTAAACGTAATATATAAGTCACTTAGACAACCTAAAAATGTTATTGTTGGGCTTTTTTCAGTGTTTTGTTTGTTCGTGAGTAAATCGGTTTGGCTGAGATTAAAATTATTAGATTAGATAAAATAAAACTTTATTAATCCCCCGGGTGGGTTCCTCCTTGGTTTTCACACAGCTGACTAAACGTCAAACAGAAAACTTATTAAACAGAAGTATGAGACAGTCGAGAATTTACACCAGTGTCTGGTTATATTTTAGATAGCAAGAAGCAGACGGCCGAGTTTATTAAACTCCACCGAGACAGCGGTGACGCTAATCAGAACTAGACCGTCCAATTTCACGCCTTTAAACTTTAAAGGCGTGTTTGTGTGTGTGTTTATACAATTGCTATTATGTTTGAACTTTATGTGTAATGTTACTGACTGCAGAGATCAGTAAGATGTGTATATTTTTTATTTATTAGTTTTATTTATTTAATATTATTTTTTAATTGAATGACTGTCTAGTAGTTCACAGATGTCGAAAAACTGAGTGTGGTAAAGCCACTGATTTTGTTTATGTATATTTCTGCAATCTGCACATTGTACTGACTTTAATTTTAATGTTTACACCAGGGTTCCTTGTCAGCACTTTATGCTCAGATGTTTGTAAGCTAAAAATAAACTATTGTGTATGTTCAAATATACTGTTGTGATTGAAGAAGTTAAATAAAAATGTCAGTCATCAATTCATGCATCACCTCATGTCATCATAACAGAGGTCTGTCTTCCAGGAAAGAACAGTTTAAAATTAATGTAATATAGTATTGGCCATACTATATGATGTATTGCTTGTCTTTGTTTAATAATACAGAAGACAAAGACCTTAAAAAATAATCGCATATCGCATCGCAATCGCAATATTGGGGCAAAAAATCGCAATTAGATTATTTTCCATAATCGTTCAGCCCTACTATGGAAGCAGTAAGAGTGTACTTAGTTTTTCACATGACTGCATAAAGCTATGTGGAAACTTTCATCTTCACCTTACTGTATATTAAGCCTCAATATGTGTGCAAAGGCATTTTAGGTTTTTATATTTATTTTACCAAATTAAATTAAATAATACAACATATTACAAACATACAAAATATAAGAAATAGCTCTAATATATACAAATAGCTCAATTATAAATATCCAGAATATTACAAAGATTAAAGATATATGATTGACATTCTACTCTAAACTGTAAACTTTAAAAGCTTTGTTATTTTGTTGTTTTCACTGTAGAGGATGTTCAAAAGGGTGTAACTTGTGTACTGTGCATTACATGGAGGAGTTGTACTGGGAGCCACAGGCAGGAATGTCGTTCAGTGGTGCATTTGGGTCAAGTCATTCTCTCACTGAACATGCTCCTGTGACTGGTCAGCACATCATGGTCTGGGTGGGAGTGGATGTTTCCCACAATGCTGTTGTCCATCATTGTCCTTATCTTGGACAACATCCATCTCTCCAACACTACTTTAAGGGAGCTCCATCCAGCTCCATCCCTGCATCCCTTCCTGTAGAGTGCAGTGGTGTTTTTAACCCAGTCCAGTTTATTATCAATGTGTACTCCGAGGTTTTTATAGTCCTCCGCAATGTCCAGATCGAACCCCTGGATTGAAACAGGAATCACAGGTTTCCTGGTCCTCCTAAACCATCAATTCTTTGGTCTTTGTCACATTGAGCTGCAGATGATGGTGCTCACACCATGTGACAAAGGAGTCCACCAGCCCGGTACTCTGTCTCATCACCCTCAAAGGTGCATTCAACCATTCTAGAGTCATCAGAATACTGAAGATGGCAGGTCTCTGTGTAGTGGCTGAAGTCTGTGGTGTAGAGGGTAAACAGGAAAGGGGAGAGGACAGTCCCGTGTGGTGCCCGGTGTTGCTGATCACCTTTTCAGACACACAATATTGAAGATGCACATATTGTAGTCTTTCTGTCAGGTGCTCAACAATCCAGGACACAAGAGAGGCATCCACCTGCATCACTTTCAGCTTATTGCCCAGTAGGGTCGGCCTTATGATATTGAATCCACTGGAAAATTCGAAAAACATGACTTACAGTGCTCAACAGCTTCAGTCCACCCGTTACAAAGCTTTCTAAGTTCTTGAATCAACTTTTCTTGAAAATCTTCTCAATGGCATTCCTTTTCTTGTCTCTTGTTCATCTTTTCCTGTCACATTTTCCAGTCAAGTTAACATTAATATGCTTTGATACAGCACTTTGAGAACAGCCAGCCTTTTAAGCAGTGACCTTCTTTGTCTTATGGTCCTTGTGGAGTATGTCGGTAATCATCATGTGGACAACTTTCAAGTCAGCAGTCTTCATCATGATTGCAATTGTTTATACTGAATGACACCAAGAGATATACGATATTTTTGCAGGACCTGAACACAGAGATAAATAATCTAATAATTTCAGGTATTCAAAGAAAAAAAAGTTTTAAAATATTCCACTTTATGTGATTAATATAGAAGACATGAAATTCTGCCTTTTGGAATTCAGTCTGTTGCATAATTAGCTTTTTAGAAACTCTCCGCAGCAGTTTCAATGAAGAGATTTCAAGGCACATAGTTACTTTATCCTCTATATTCCTTTGGGATCAATAAAGTTATTCTTATTCTTTATTCTTATATTCATATATTCATTCGTGTAGAGCCAAAATTAAATGTATTCCTGAAATGAAATCAGCAAGCTACAGCTGACAATATTGTTGGTTGTTCTCTCCATCTTTGTCTTTAACATGTCGCTGTCTAGCAGAATGGCAAATAGACTGATGACCCTTTGGTCTCCAGTTAGAATCCCAGGTGTTCACACTTCTACTGTGATCCTTAATTAATATGCTCATCTGCAGATGTGTTATAGAACTTTTCAGAATTACATTCAAAGCAAGTGGATTTTCTGGGGACATAAATGTCTTCCACTGTATTATTATTGTTATTATTATCATTCATCATAGGCTAGGCTATATGCACTGGTGGACAGTAAGGTTAAGATAGTCATGTTTCCCCTTGAAGCTGTAATTTGTGTGTAGCCAAGGCCTATACCAACTGATGATATTGCTTTGCCCTTTAATTCATCCCCCCAATCGATGCAGGAGTCAGTGATTACACACTAATGCGTTCTTCCCTTCCATTTTGTGAATCAATGTACGGTTGGTTTCATCTGGTAATGAGAGACACAGTAAAGGTGAAATGCGTGTGTGTGCATTCTCTTGTGTTTGTCTCTCAAAGAGTGGTGTGTGTGTGTGTGTGTGTGAGAGAGAGAGAGAGATGGTGTGTGTGTGTACACTGTGGTGTCTCTGTGTCTGTTTTGTTGTGTGGGTGGGTGGAATGGGGGGAGTTTGGAGTGTGTGTTTGTTTGTGTTTGTTTCAGGCAGTCGTCTCCTACACTCTGCCCCTTTAGCTGTGATGGCCTGTTTGTGAGACACAGACATAAAATTATCAGACTGGTCGTTGTCTGCCTTTGAAGTGTCTTGAGCTGTCCATCCTGATTTGTCATCCAGAGGGGGATCAGTCCAGTATGGCTGCTGTCTGAAGATCTCTCATCTCTGTGTTTTTTGCAAGAGGAGGAACAAAGCCTCCAAGCTTTTATTATTTTGGTCATGTATGGTCTCATTCTTATAGTTTTAGTAAATGTCTCTTTTCTTTAATCAGCCATCACCGTTAAATTTCACTACATTTTATGACATGTGAATAAAGGTGCTCTTTGACTATATACATATGGACTATGTTGAGAATTGACCACAATGTGGATGGTGATTGAGAAGATGACATGTTTAACTGTTATTATTATGGTAGAATTTCCTGCTAGGATGCTTAGTGGCATAGGTGGCTTGAAGAGGCCTTAAGAGTTGGTTGGATGCCAGTTGGTTCAGTTTAGTCAGATTTAGATGAAAAACAAAAGATAACTGAAGGGTATATTATGAAGTAAGGAAGTTCAACATAGCTGGGGTTTCTTTGTGTTGGCTGGCTTGACAAAATCTAAATCCCCAGTCAGAGATAACGGGTATCACAACAGTAGTTGACAACTTCAAGCTATGTGCATGCTCGCATAAAAAAAGGAGGATTTCACAAGTCATATGACTGTATTTTCTGCACAAATTGATCCCTACGAGTGCCACCTACTTCAGTTGGAGACATTAACAATTAATGATGATAGAACACAAAAAAAATCTAATAGCAAAAGACGAGAGATTAATGCTACAGAAAGTGATTAATATTGGGATTTAGCACAAAGCAATAAAATAAACATTTTCACTTTAGTTATTTTTATTTCTGATGTGACATCCGTAGATTAGATATTTGAAACTTTAAACTCAATACGTTTTAATATTAAACTGTCCCAGAGCCTACTGAAAGAGATGTGAAAATCACTCGTTTTTTTGCCAAATCAAAATAAAATTATTTTTATTGGTTGAATGGGTATTCTTGGTGATAAATAACTCAGTTAAGGCTTAATATAGCTCACATATACGTTAATATTCCTTCGTAATATATGGTAAACAAAAAACTTTATAAGAAGTGATAAAAGCAAAGAAAAATCAAGTAAAGGTTCTCAGTTAAAACTCGATAATAATTACGTATAAATCAAGTGTATGTTATGAGGGAATTGTGAACAATAACATGAATCATGTAGGTCTTATAAGACTTACATATAAATTAAAAGTATTTTCTTTTGGAGGAAATAGAGATGTTTTTTCTATGTATTTTCTCTATGAATAGCTTCTTATCTGAGCTTTAAGGACACAAATATTTTAAATATGTTTTAAAGGTATATTTTTTGGTGTCAAGGTGATCAGTCAGAAAAATCATAACACCATAGGTCTAACATTAATAAACTGCGCAAAGACAAATGGCAGCTGTGAGTTGAACCCTACCACTGGAGATACATTAATAGACATTAAAGGCTTGCAAATGCTGCTAAATTAACCCTTATTTGTAGTAGTGTTTATAGTAGTGATTCACTTTTTGAAAGCTTTTTTAAACAACTGTATTCTTTTGTTTACCTGCTATGTGTCCTAAATTTAACTCAGCTGCTCAGTAGAAATAATAATAATAGTACTTTATGGACCAAAGACATACAAGGGGAAACATTGTGACCTAGATATTTTCTCCCCTGCAGCTTTAGTAGATATGATTCAGGACTCTTTCTCTCCTGCTCCCTTGTTTGAAGGCAAATGAAGCAGAGGCATTCCCCTTTATCGAACCTTAGTCAGAATAACCAAAAAAAACAAAAACAAAGATGGGGGAAAAAATCATCCCATGACTGTCCAGAGTGACTGATCTACCTCAAAGATATGACTGTCCCCCACCCCCTGTTGCTCCTATACCCTGCCACCTCCCGCCTCCTCCTCATACCCCCCGCCTCAACTGCCTAATGACTCCTGGAGGTTCCATTTGTAAGGCTCCCATAGAAACACAACTACAATAGGCCCCATCTTGAGAGGGCCCATCTGGGAGTCTTTGTGGGGCCTGCTGAAAGCCACAAAGGCCTGCTGACCTAGAAACCCATCAATAAGAGAACAGGGAGCCCCACCGACAACAAATTGAAGAGCCATGGAATTTCCTTAGCCATCCTGAGTCCGTAGGTGAGGACCTGGACCAGGAACGTGGGAGGAGAAGGGAATTCTCCGGATGTTCGAGGATGACACCTCAGGATGTCATTCCCAAGCTGTCAGCTGTATGCCCATTACCTTCAACTGTCACTGCTGCCTTTGTCCTTGTGCCCACTGGTTGTCATTGTGAAGAGAGGCCTATGAAATCTTTACAAAATGGTGATTGTGACAGGAAGCAGCAATAGCATGCTGTGAAGGGTTCTGGGCCCTGCTCTGTAGGGTTTCATATTGATGATGCAGGTTTTTCTGCTGGTTTGGGGTGAGGAATGGACGGGTGGCTGCTTTGTACGCAAGAACAAAGACTACTTTTGGGAAAGTGTGTTTGCTGTTTAGAATTATGTGCCGGTCCATTTAATGCCTCCTCTAATGTGGCTCTAATGTCACCCCTCAGAGCAGAGATCTGCCCACCGTGCACAACTTACTTTTTACACTGTTAACTACACCTGATGGAAATGATGTGAGAATGATAGTGAAAGGATGCCATTGCCACTTGAATGCACACAAAAATCTGAGAGATTCATGTGAACCTGTGTCAGGAAGCATTTTGAGAGAAGCTCCTACCTTATCCTACTTCTGCCTTCTCTTGTCACTTGTAGTACCTTTCCATTTAGTGGGAGGGTCCAGGTGAATGCTTAAGGCAGGTGTCTTTGTCTCACCTCCACTGCTGTGTGGCGAAATGATAGAAATACTGTTTTAAGACCCTAACAAGAAAGGTGAAGATGTCATCTCCACTTTGATAGTCAGATCACACTACATGTCCCTGTGACATGTCGATTGCCACTTCATGTCCCTCCTAAGGTAACCAGAATGTGCTCCTTACATCAATTACAGTTTGCAGTTGTGATGTGGTCATGAACTGCTGGATCTGTGATGTGTGAATGAATGTTGAAGAAGGAAAGAATATCAACAATGTTTGGCATTAAACAGTTTGGCATTAAACAGAGATTTTTTCCACTTATTATCAAATTCTAATTATTGTTGTCTTTGTTTTATCAATATTTCTTTTTAGAGGAGGACCGATTTGATAGCTACTCTCGCATGATCCTCAAGTACTTCCTGGCAGAAGGAGTGGTGTGTCGGCATGAACTTTTTGTTGCATCAGCTCAAGATAACCCTGATGACATCTTACAGGTATGAGGGGAGGTGTCAGCCATTCTGTAACAACTTGAAATGAAACTGAGGTACTGCAGAGGATGATTTATTTTTCTAAGCTGCGAGTTTTGACGCCAAGGTGGCCTTGTGTTGTTATGTCTGCTTTAACATTTTCCCGTACAACTGTCAAACAAAAAGAACTTTGTTTGAATGTTGGAAAGTACTTGTGGATGTTTGTATAATTCATATATATATATATATATATATACACACACACACACACACACACACACACACACACACACACACACACACAGATATGATAGATTTTTTTGTGCTCATAATATAAACCCCCACCTGCTTTACAGTGCAGGCACACAGCTTTTGCTAACATGTGTCAGGGTCAATGGGGGTATCTGGGAGGTCGAGGGTGGCCTGGTTATAGCATTGTTGAAATGTTTCCCGACGTATCACTTTGTGAGGAGCACCATAGCCCCAGAAGCTGATTGCCACCCCGCATAAGGGAGGGGGGCCTCTCTCCCACTGATTGATAGTGGGAGGGGTCATGGCGTCACCCTCTCTTTACATATCAAAGACTTATTAAGAGAGGGGGGCTCCCAATGGGAATATATCACATCATTTAGTGTTTTCACAGCTACATTTGCAGTATTCTAGTTTTCTGATGTTAAGGTTCCTCTTTATGGATTACCATAAGATGCAGTTAAGTGCTTAGAAGGAGAAATGAAGTTGTGATGCACTGTAGTATTGTTGTTACTTAACTAGAGAGATTTAGTTTTGAGTCTCTTATCAGGATCTCTTTCCACATTGTATTTATGTTACGCCTTAGAAACTGAGATTAAATTCTGCAATGAGTCAGTCTTTAGATTATTATTTTTTTGTAATGTAATACACATGATTATATATCCTGCTGTGTTGCCACTACAGTTGTTTTTAGTTTAAAATATTTGGCCTGCACATAAACTTTTATAAAAACCATGTTATTAGAAACTCATTGGCACTTATGATGCTAAATCATTCAGGATCTAGTTTTTGACCCACCACTGGTAATAATGACAGGTATCTGTTTATTTTAATTCTTTTATATGGATTTAAAAAATTTTTTTTATCATAATAAACTGATGCCCAGGTTCTTCTTACACTGGGACTTTCCATAGTCCCCATATTCTACTCAAAATTTCCATACCAATAGAAATAACTAACCCTTATACCAGTTACATGAAGTGTAATGTACTGTTTTGAACAGGAACTCCCTGCTCCCATCTTGGACGATGTGGCCATTCACAAGCCTGTGGAACAGCCCAGGCTGTCTTGTGAACCCCAGGACAATTTGGATGCTATGAAGATTGCCTGGCGCTATCAGAATCTACCTAAAGTGCAGGTAGTCAGATTGATATATACATTATATATAATGTCTCCTATTGTGTTGGAGTAAAGGTAATCTTTTTTTAATTTTTAAAAGTTCAAAATGTGTCTCTGTTAATGATGATTTGCCAATGGATTGCACTGGCACTCTGGTCTTTAGTGGTTTGGCAATTGTCTCAACCACTAAATCTATCAGCTTCTAAACTCCTTTGTGGGGTGAATGAGGCCTCAGCCTCTCCTTTCAGAGCTGGGCCAGATTACTCACACTTAACTGGCAATAGGTAGGCTTTTCACTGGTCCCCAACTTGCATATACACACATATACACACGCCTGCACCCCTGCTTAGCCTGGGAAACAAGAGTACTTTGCAGCCTGTGCATTGACATGTCTGCTCGCTCAACCCTATGACCCAGACCTGCGCCTCTGTCTTTCCCCAAATCCCTGCCTTTCCCCCTGCTAGGGTCGGCAGCCCTACACTCTTTCTTCCGCTTTGAGGAGAGGTGACCCTCCCCTTCTACTTCTCTGCAGTCTACCCCCGTTGCTCTATAATCCATATCGCTATGTGGATTAACAGCACACAGTGTGTCCCTGGGGATCCTCTCCTTCTTTCTCTCTCCCTGGAAACTTCTTTATATCTGTGTCCTTTCCTCACCTCTCCCCCTTCCCCTGTAAAATCGTCTTTACAAACCACTAGTAAGCCCAACCAGAGGATTTGCATCCCAAATTCACCCGCAGAGTCAACGCTTACTTTCCCCTTACACACACCTCTCCTGGCATAGCCCACTGAGTTGCTCTCCCGATGAAGACATCAGATCAAAGGTGAGGCCGTCAGGGCGGGGATGGAACGCTAAGCGGGTTGCCTAGCTCACAAAGAGAAGATGAGCTCCTGACCCCCCTGCCCTCCTGACCCCCTCGTCCCGCCAGGAGAGGGACACACCGGGGGCCCTAATCCAGATTAGGAGTAGATTAAGGGCCCCTTTAACAATAGAATCCCTGGTTTCACTCAGAGAGAAGAGCTAAAACTCTCTCTTTCAGCTGCAGGAAAACATCCGCCTTCCCTGCGTCCGTGATGCGTTTGCTTTCACAGCCAGAAGTGGACATTTATGTGAAGAAATGATTAAGAGTGTGGTCATAGTGGTTATTTAACTTCTCTGCTGTAGGAATGTGGAGGAATGACCCATAAACAATGCAATTGCTTTACCATGGAGCGGAAAAACAAACTCTTTACAAATTAGGAAAACAAATAAGTTTTTTTTTCTTGTGAACTGTTCTATTCTTATTTGAAAAACATTAAATACACACCAATTATTTAAAAAAGTTCAAAGCAGGTAGAGGTGTCCGATTTTATTGAAAGTGGTTTTTAAATTAATTGGGTTAGATTTTTTATTGTTTCACTTTCCAAAAATTGACCCTTTGACCTTTTCAGAGTGCCCTGGCCTCTTCTTCCCGATTTGGGCATTACTATGATGTTTCCAAGACAATGGAGCCAGAAATTCGCCAGGCAGCCAAGTGCCACCGCTTCTACCTTCCAGAACATCCCACCCAGTCATCAACAACAAACAGGTAAAAGGACAAGACACTATCAACAGAACACATGGAAACCAATGAGACACGATCCACAGAACAAAGGCACACAAGCACGACACCACCCACAAAACACAGTTATACAAATAAGACATCATCCACAGAACACAGGTAAGCAAACATGGCATTTTTCACAGAATACAGGTACAATGCAAACAGACCAACATCATTTTAAGGTAACATTACTGTATTGTAACTGTCACATGAATTAAAGAAGAGAGTATGAGAGGACTGAGGTTTCTCCCTTTGGTTAAGATTTGTAGGAAATTATTAAACTTTAGGCTTGCAAGGTATAATTGCTTTCCTTGTTATTTGATTAATAATCATTATATTCTCTTTTCTTGATTACATTTTTTAATGTCTATAATTTTACACAGTATATTTTTTAATGGCTTACAAAACATAATTTATCATGTATATGTCCCTTTTTGAGTCTAGGATCCACTGCTATTGAATTAATTATATGAAACATGATTATTATATTTCCTAATTTTCTGTTATTCCCCAAATCAGTCAAGTTTATGTGTTTTCATTAGTTATAGCAGCAAAGCAAGCATGCATCTTGCTAAATTTTGCATTAATAGTTTATGCTTTTCATTGATTTTCTTCAAAATACGAAAATGTCATATCTGTAAGGCTGAAATCGCTTTTTTGTGCTTTTTACATACCTGCTCAAAAGTATCCACATTGTTTTGTACTTTTGAGTCAAATGTCCACTTTCAAAAATATACTGATGCAAATTCATTAAAATCTGGCTGGTTTGTCTTCTGTTCTGAGCAGCGTGCCACTGGCCCAAGTCATTCAGGCTCTTGGAAAGGTTGCGTATGTCTATTCAAATAAGGGCCTTGTTTGCTCAGCGTCTGTTTGATTTCTCCTGCATTGAGTGTACTTAGGGTTCAGAGGTCATGCAGGCTCTTTACTCAAAGAGTGTTGCTGAACACACAAGTGCACACGAAGGCACACTCACACACACACAGGGTAAATATAGCAATCTGGAGCACAGAGGATGTGGAGGAGGCTTTATGGTATCACTCTTCTTTTATGTCAGCAAACAGACTCTTTAGCAGAGCAACTGTCCCAATACACTGAATTTTGTTAACATTCACTTTCAAAAGTGTGGATGGTAAAGTGGACACCACTAGCTGTTATAACTCAACATTGCCTAATGGAAAAACATAAAAGAAAAAAAAATCTTGTCCACTGATGAATCTGAGTAAGCCTGACATAGTGGTGCTGTTGTAGTGTCTGAATGGGTTATAGATCTCACAGGCATTTTGACAGCGGGAAACTACACCTGCACTGCAGCATTGTGCCCCAAGCCCGCCCCGGTATTAACACACATGCATGTGCTCACATACACAGTGCATTGCATACGCACATGTACCACACAAACTCCTAAGCAGGCTACTCCCCCTTGCACGTGTCCAAAGCCCCATGTTGATACCCTAGCTGTTAAATTGCTTCGTTTCACTTGAAGGCATAATTGGCACAAATTGCTCTCTAGGTGATACAGATCCTGTTGTTTAAGACCAAGCATCCCCGTTCTCTCCTCTTTTCTTCCCTTGCTGAAATAGGAACGCTGAGATAAAGAAGCTTCCCTGTGCATGATCCTAATTAGCTGACGCACTAGCCCCTGTAGCTAAGCACCTAGACCTTTTTGGTACCTGAATGAGGGCTGCTCAGTAGGGGTAGCTAAAACACAATGCTGCCTCTCACAATGGCTGCCAACCAGTAGCAACCTCCTCAACTACATGTCACACCATCCCAGCCCCCTACCTCAGAGCTGGGGCATGGGCAGAGAGGCCGTGGAGGGTAGGTGTCCCTCTTTCACCAAGCCAGCTCTATCATTAGCCACAGCGGGGTCAGGAGGCACCATTGTTGTGTTGAATAACTGAAATAGAGTACATGGATATACTTGGCCAAGTGTAATCAACACGAGTGTGTATTACTGTTCTTTATACATGGCTATTGGCGTGTGACCAATCTATGTGTATCAGCTTTTGTAGCCTGCAGGTCGAATTGACAACTGACATAGCAGCCCAGTGTGAGTTACCACAGAGTGGTCATTACAATGGTGGGGCGTTCTTAAGTGGAGGGTCTTGTGTAAAAAGATGGGGTTAACATTCCTGTCGGCCATCCTATAGACACACAGAAGTCCCTTGATTGTTGCTAAATGTTGCTCTGATAACACTGTATGCCCTTTGGCAGTGGTGCACATCTTACCCCTGATTAAACCCAAAATGCTGTTCCCTGTTAATTTTAGATATCAACCCATTAATTCTCCTGTCCTTCTCACGTATCATCTTTGCTGTGCGTATGTTTGTGCATATGCGCGTCTCATCTGTCTATCTGTCTGTCTCGGCACAATCAGATCCTCAGGGAGCTGACAGAGAACCAGTCATGTTGTAATTTAATCAACCAAATAAATTAATTGGATCTCTTGATATGGATCATCTGTCTGCTTCAGTGGCTACAGAAAAGCACAGTCAGGAAGAACATGCTGCAGTCATAGACGATTAAACTACTGCGGTGATAGGCTTGGCCCAGTTTTATCAAAATAGTCTCAGTGACAATTTACATATATTAAATAACCCTTTTGTGTTCTCTTTCTGGGTGTCTGCTTCACTGTTCCCATTCTTTCTGCCCTACCCTGTGCTCTCTCCAGTCGCATGATTGAGTCTTACTCTGCATTGCTGAAGTCCCTTCAAGAGGTCATACACAGAGAAGGCTTTGATTTGTCTACCCCCATGGTAAGAACCAGTATTATATCTGTTTCATTTGAGAGTCTGGAAATGGATGATTTTGCAATTACAGTTTGTATTTTCAATTATTGCAGCCCGTCCCTTCAACAAAAACATCTAATACACATAGAAAGATGTAACTCTATGGGTTTACTTTTTTGGCTAAAACTGTAAACAAAACAATCGAATAAAAATATGATCCACTTCAGGTGATCCTTCCGTTTTAAATTTGCTCCTTTCTGCCCATTCAACCAGTTGCAGCCTTTAAAATGTTCAAAGAAACACTTATCAGTGCTGGGTGATCCAAATCTCTGTGATATAACCTAAACCATGTTTCGTGTGCATTATTGTTTATGGTAAGTGTATGGCAACGATGCTGAACTCTGAAACTGTACCAGGTTACAAATACCACGTCTTAAGCTCACTTTTAATTACAAGCTATTGTTCATATAAATGTTTGTTACAAGCACTGGAGTAGCACAGAGGGAGATACTAGATCTGCATCTGTGACCCCCAACCACTACTTGAGCCTGTTTACCTCTTTCTCACCTGCTCAGGTTGACCTCACCTGTGTGTTCCCAGCTGTGTGTCTTATCTTTGACATAAATCTTCGGAATAATCACCGGTTCTCTTCAGAGTGCCAGAAGCATTTGTGGCCTTATCTACCTCACTTTCCATACTTGTTTATTAAATGTCCTACTGTTAATTTAAAACAATACTTAATAAGTAGTGTTCATACACAAAAGCATGTAAACTCTATTATTTGTGATCCAGTGCGTGCATGTGCATGTATGAACACACACATATGTGCGCGCCTTATTCACCTACATTCTGTGACCCCTCTGCTTGTCACCTGGAGCCACCTCTCCCCCCCTGTCACTCACGCACAAGATTTACCTCCCCTACCCCCCACTTTCCCTCCCCAAGCGCTGTCAATCACACACCAGATTAACTGCTGACATCATTAAAGCAGTGTGGCCGCCCGATGTGCTGTTGGCACAGTCCAGGAATGCAGACTAGCACAGGGCGACATGGGCACACACAGAAAAAAGGCCAGTATGGATGATAGTGTGTATGCATCTTTATGTTGATTCGTTTATCTGCTTTTGGGAGACTGCTCATATTGTGATGGTTTAATATAAATTGTAAATAACAGATTACAATGTTGATTAATCTCCCTGTGCATGTTTTTGGTGGATTCCGTTGAGTTGTGTGAGCCTCCACAAACACTGGCTGATTAGGTCGGGGTTCCAGGCTTGTTGTAGTCTATATGGCTGGCTTCTGGCTGGACCTTATTGGCATTGTTCCCTGATTTTTCTATAGGCTTAACTATAGGAGTTAAGTTTGGCCTCCCTTGCTAATGTTGCCACAGCAACACTGATGTTACCACAGCTCCCCCCTGCTGGGCTGCACATAGAAATAAATTTCTTCTTTTTTTTCTTTTTTTTTGCCTGTCCCATTTGGTTCTTTAGCCGTCAGAATTGTTGTCTGAAGACCAACAAGGATACCCAATGGATTTACTTTGCCAAATGGATCATCACGGCCTTGCTGTATTGGTCCATTTGATCAACCTTTGTTGTTATTATTTATTTTATTTTCAGTTGTTACAGACGGGACAGACATGACTGAGGGATAGTGAGAAAGGGCACTTAAAAAGAGAAAGAAGAGAAAAAAAAATCTCCTGGATCAGAAATAAATTTCTAATTCTGTGTCCCACAAAACCCGTGATTGAAGAGACTGCTCAACAAAGAAAGTGACTTAAGGGAAGCGCACATAAAACTCATATTTAAGCATAGTAAGGTATAGAAATGAAGCACTGGTGGTGAATAACATGAGTCAACATGAGTTGACTGTAAAAAAAGCTCCCAGAAACAATGGGGTTTATTTTTCTAAGATCCCTGTGATTCTGCTCCAGACCCAAATGAAGCTTAGGTCATGTTGTCGGGAGAGGAAGCAGGAGGGAGTGGGGCAGAGGAGATTTCGGGAGGGTTGAGAAAATAGAGGGGGAGGGATAAAGAAGAGAAGAGACTGGGGGACAAAAGCAAAAAGTGAGCAGATTTTAGGCCAAGACTTTGTTAATCACTTTTGGCTCTCACCTCAGTAATTAGGAGCCATCCTTACGAAACCCCAAATAAAAGGCAATTGTACTAAAGGCTAAAAAACTCTCACACTTTGGACAGGCTCCTTCATTCTTTCAGTTTCAGTGATATATATATCCCACCACTGTTTGGCCACTTTTTTTCTTTGCCCATGAGAGTGGGTTACCGTTGATCTCTTGTAGTGAGGTGGGGGGGTTTCAAGGGAAGGCACTCCACCCTTACCCAGGCCCCCTTGGCTGCAGCGCATCGCTGTGGTGCCAAGAATGTGCTGGAGTTTCTGGGTGGCGGCCATATTGGAAGCCTGTCTGACAGGTCCATTGTGCGTGTGTCAGATGGCTTCTGTGATTGGGCAGTTGTGTCCAGTCACGTTTGGGCACTGTGTTCGGATTGTCTGTGCTGGTAAGCAGACTGTCCATTCTCTCTCTTCCAAAGTTTGGGAATACTACCCAAGACCACAGCAGCTTACTGAAATCATTTAAAAGCGGTTCTCAGATAATGTTCAGAAGCAGTGTTTTTGCATTCGACTGTACTGTAAAATAAAACACATTTGCATGACTCTTTCTTGAATATTTTCTGTGTTTCTGACACTGTTTTTTTCTCTTTTGTTTTTGTTTTATCTTATAGTCCATGTCTCGTAATATCTTGCGTGTTGGTCTTCACTCTCTTGGGTCAGCTTTGTGGAATGATGACCTAAGTTGCCACGACGACCCCATGCATAACCACGCCTTGACTACCTTCCTTTATGGACTGCGTGCCTTACTGAGGTCATCACTGTCAGTTGCAGTAGTTACTGTTCCTTCTCATCTTATTCAGGTAAAACACTGGTTGACACGTGTAAACAGTTAAACATAGTTGAGAATCTCTTTTTGAAAGAGGTTTGTCGGTAGTTTTATGACGTGCAAAAACATTTGTTCTTGTGTCTCTTTCCTCCAGTGGGATGTTCTAAACTTGATTTGATTATGTCTTTTTTATTAGTAGAGTGCATAGTATGAAGTCTTTTGTACTGTGTCATCCTCCTGACCCTGTAGTTCAGTGTCACCTTGGTATTACTCAGGCCACTTCCTGGAAGCCATGCTTTTGCAGCAAACACAGTCAGTTGCATACTTATTTTAAAGGCCTTTGAATCTGTGAGGGGGTTTATGGTGCTGTTTTTAAAATTAGAGTTTTAAGCAGAGTGTGAGCCTGTGTATGTATTTTATTATCTTACTAATATTAGTCCTTGCAGTTGCGAGTTGTAAGTGTAAATCTTGGGAGGAGGTGGGTGGTGTGGTTAGGCAATTGGGGGGAGTCCACGTGCATGCGCCTGTGTCCAGTCTGGCCTCTCAGTGTGAAGATGGAGTCATCTGCTGAGGCATATGGCAAACCACAGCCCTCCCCCAGACAGTCAACCACAGAAGCACACTCACCAGAAAAGCCATCTGAGACTTTCTGCCAAAATGTTTCAACCTGCCCACTCTTTTACTGTAACACCCTACTTTCTTACTCACTCACTCAATCACATGAGCATGAAAACACTGTTATTTCTGAGCCTTTTATACAGAGATATAGGTCAGTAACTTACAGAACAGCTGTGTTGTCATAACTTGCTCTGGCTCCAGGCCTATATGTGCTCACTGCACAGCGGCCTTGGCCTAGTCAAAAAAAGGTAGAGTGGCTAACTAGCAGATGTCAGCTGTGGTGGGAGCGGTCCCCCTGTCCCACTCTGGCCAAGCTTCCAAACCCTTAATCTGTCCCCTCCCCCTCCTCCACCCTGGGGAGAGAAGTGAATGAGTTGGGGAAGAACAGGAGAGGAGATTTTGGACTGAATCAGGTGTTCAGTAACTAAGCCAACATAGAGGTAATTAGGGCTATGTGACCTTATTATTAGTTATATAATTTAGTTATACAATTAATGTGAATTTCATTCACTCAGTAAAGTGATTAATCATTTGAAGGCAGTGGTGTGTAAAACCTACTCATTTCAAACTGATAACAGAAATTAGTTTGACATGGTAGAAGAGTTTCTTTGTGCCAGAGCATTTCTTAAATAGTTATAATGGAGAAGATATGGCCTTTGGAAAACTGTCTAGACTAGTAGCAATGGGCTACCTGGCCAAGGCTCTATTGTCTTGGCCAGCTAGCCCACTGCTGCTAGCCTACAATACTCAATGCATTATTGAGCAGCTTGGGAAGCTGAACAACTCACTGAAAGCCTACTCACAGCAGCCCAGTGCTACAATCCATCTGAAATATTAATTAAGCTCGTCTTAGCCCGGTTCCCCTCAATCTTACTTGGTCCTGCTACCACACCCATCCCACACACAAATGTAAAGTTCACAGTCTTCCCCATAATGCAGCTATACTCTCATCTATACTCACCTGGTGCTCAGACTAACGCGTTGTCCTGATTGACGTAAATATTGCAGCTCGTCCAGAAAGATGTCCACATAGCCTCTACACCATTTATATAAGCTGCAGTCTTACCTATGAATATAGCACTTGCCTATTCTTGTAATTCCGAAGAGCAGTTTTTTCAATTGTAAAATAACTCCTGTTACTGACTTTATTTCTTTGCATATCTTCAAGAGAATATTTCATATTTTCATTTTGTTCAACTTTTGATCATCAGAAAGTCATCTTTAACTCACTCAGACTGAGTTGGGATCATATTAATAAGATTGTTTACTTGATGACATGTATACCCAGTGGCATTAGTTGTATGCCATTGAGTCAAACAGCCAAATGAAAACAACAATAGCTGTAATGTTGCAGCATGAGGTGAACATTGGGCCCTCTCTGTGACCTGTCAGACAGTGGTCATCCGCTGAAGCTGAGGGTTTCAGGGGATTTGCACTGACCTAATCTGAATTTATTGAGGTAGCATAGAGTTTAATTACAAGACTCAAACGAGTCTTGTTACAGCCCTTTATTAATTATAAATAACATATAAAGAATTATATTCAGCAGAGGGGAGCATTTCTTTTATTGCTTTAAAAACTCAAGAAGCTGAGGCGCATGTGCGTGTCTTACCGACCTCATTCTGCCCTGTTGCTATTAAACTGAGCTGCTTTATGTGGAAAGTTTGAAACAAATCACTCCTTGATAAGGAATCTAATCTATCTATTTATGTGCACACAGAAGAGTTATAATCCTCTAAACAGATTTGTACAGATAAAGTTTTTCATGGGCTATTGCTCAGATACTGAGTCATATTGTGCCATTAGTGTTTTGTGTTGAATAATGCTTATCGAAACTCTCGAATTGGCTGTAATTGCTGCACGAGTGACTTCAGATTCTCTGTAAGTGCTGGTGGTACTGACTGGTAGGATATGCATACTTTAAAAGTAGGACAAAAATGAAAAGGAAGAAGAAAGAGTGGGGAAAAGACATGAAGGCATGAAAACTGCATTAGGCGGTGGCAGCCAACACAGAGAGAAGGATGTGAATGATTCAGGAGGCAAAGGGATTAATAATGCAGGACTCCCTCTCCCCCTATGTCCCAATGTCCCTCTCTCTTCCTCCCTTTCACTCTTTTACCCTCTGCTTCCACCCTTTTGTATATTCCTTCCTCATTCTTTTTCTCTACTGTATTCAGCCCTAATTTGTCCACTTTATTGTCAAGTCACTGAGCAAACCAGTAGGGGGAGCTATCCACTCCAAGCCTATGTTACTTCTCAAACTTCTCCCCAGTCCTCCCCTGCTGGGTGCAGGTTTAAGTTTGTGCACCAGCTATCCAGCTATAAGCTTTTTCGTGAAACATTTGATGAAATAAAATATTTACAGTGTGGCACATTTTCCCATGCTTTTCTTTCTCTCTTTTTTTCAAATCTATGACGTAAGGTTTATCTCCATTTGTTTGCCCCATCACTACTTTCCCTTCTATCCCTCATCACATACACATAAGCCATGGGCAGAAATGACCTGGTCACAGGAAATGATGACCTAATTTAATTGAAACTCTGATGGCCCGTCAGGAGGCTTTTAATTACCTGTTAATGTTCTGTGTCTCTTTCCCCCTCCCTCCCTCCCTCCCTCCCTCAATCTTGGTCTGTCTCTGTCCTACAGGACCGGGCTCTAATGGGTAACATTACCAGGCTATGTGACAATGCCATAGCCTTAGAATCATTCAAAGGCTCTGAGAGAGAGACCAACCCTCTCTACAAAGACTACCATGGTAAGAACACACACGCTTATCTTTCTGTCTCTTTTACATCAAATACACACACATACATACAGGCAGTGCATTAAGGCTGAGGCTGGGCTGTGGATGGAGGCAGGGCAGCCCCCTTGCAGGCCAGACTGTCAGTGCGCGTTAGTGTGCTGCTGCTCAATCAGACGTGCTCCTCAGTAGACAGGCCGGGGGGGATTCAGCTGCCACGCTGTACCCCCTCTCCCTCGCACCCACTGCCCCCACCCTCCATCCCTGCCTCCCCCCTCCAGCAGAGCCTCTCTCCCTCTTGCCTCGCCCACTCTCATCCCCAGTCCCATACCCCTGAGGCTCTGGAGCAGAGCAGACCAACACTGGGGAATCGATATTCTCACCATCACTCTCTCTTCCTCTCTGCCTCTATCGCTCTATCCCTCGGTCAATGTCTCCGTGGCCAGCATGCTCTGCTAATAAATGGAGGGCAAGGCTTTCAGTAGGGGAAAGGACACTGGTAAGGGACACTTGGAGAGAAAGAAATAAGGAAACACGAAGGGAGGGCAGGCACCGTAGTTTGTGTTTGCGTTCCTCATCCTCACCATCACTTTTTCTGTACAGTTTCATCTTTCCTTCTTTCTCCGGCATGTTTTCCTCTTTTCTGTCACTCTATCACACCCTCCACGCATAAAGGTCAGTTTAAGCGAGTTGGGTATTTTTAGCAGTGCCTCTCGAACTCTCCCACTCGCTCTTGCGCTTTTCCTCTCACCCCCCCCCTCCACCCCCCCTCGTGTTAGACGGCCCTAGTTGTGACAGATGAAGGGATGAGATTGAAAACATTCAATGGCAGATTTTGTTTTCATCCAACAGCATGTTTTATTTAGATCACACATCCCAGCAGTGATCACATTCCTCTGCATTGTGAGGGCAGGTGGCTTTTCAGCTCATGCAACATGAGTGTGAGGATGTATAATTTTTTTTAATGATTTTGTTTTGCAAAAACAAAACAGAACGTTCTTTTTAATTTGCAGTTAATATTGTTTGCACACCTTGTTCAAATATATGTTTGCCCTGTTCAACCAGCCAGAGAATCTCTGGTTGGGTTATGAAATACATTTACGTGTACAATTGTTTTGATGTGTGCTCATGAGTGCAAACGCATCTGGTACGAGTGTGAGAGTGTGCGTGCGGAGGCGCGTGCGTGTTTGCGGCAGCAGTTGAGGGCTGCTCAAAGCATGCTGGGAAGCCTGTCACTGCAAATCAGGCAAGGGGAAATCACCCAAGTGCACAGAGGAGAGAACCCACCATCCCCCACTTTTTATGTCTGTCTTCCTTTCTCCATTACTCCCTCGATCACTCCTTTTCTCTCTCACACTTATTTATACCTCCCTACTTTTACAGTATGTAACCAGTTTTAAGAAAACTGGGGTGAATTAATTGAGGACTAAGAGTGGGGGGGAAAAAATCCACCAAAACTTTGTAAGAATCCGTAGCTTGCGTTTTTGTCTTGTGTCCTTATTGTTCTAGTATGTCCCAGTGTAAGTTGGCAAATTTTCATTTGCTCATACTCCAAATCATAGGAAAAGTCTAACATGCAGATATGTGAACAAAATACTTCTTCATTTCAGTCTGCCAATGACATTTACTCAGTATATTCTATTGCAGATTTAGTTGTTAGTAATTTTACAATTAATTTGTGCCTTAAATTTAATCCTCTTGTACAGATGCAAATTTTCAAAACAAACCCCCAAACTTTAAAAAATCCTTCACCTTATAATGATCAGTTAGACATTTGAAAGCCATTGCAAAACTTTGAAACATTCAAAAATATAATCTGTTACTAAAATACTGTAAAGACATGAAGACTTGCATTTATGAATGGATTTATCAAACTTAATATTAGTTTTTGCTGAGGTCAACGTGGGGTCACTAGCAATTTTTTATTAGCTCTTCTCATACAGCTACTGCCTACATACTAAAATGTTACCTTGAAAGGTGCAGGGGAACAGCATTCTTCCAAAATAGGGGTATTGAGCTTAATAATGAAGGTTAATTTCTTGCTAGTTGGTAGTAACTCAGTAAATCTGTAAAATTCTGTCACTTATTTTATGTTTATATAAAAAATGGCACGTGTGAGAAACACGATGGGGTTTTCTGTTGGCACAGTCAAATAAAATACACATGCTCTGTAATAAATGAAGTAGTAAGGCAGGAAGAAGTAAAGGAAGCTCTTACTTTGTGTGGTATTTCAGGTTTAATCTGCTCCCTCTTCCTTTCACAGGCCTGCTACACGTACGCCAAGTACCTTACCTGAACTGTCTGGCGAGCCAACTCCCTGACCACAAGGACCTGGCTTTTAAGCTCAAGAGAAAACAGTTCAGTATTGAGGTATGTTGTCAAAGGTACTCAGCGTAACCAGGATCTATTCATTAAAAAGACGGTATTCCAAGGGTTACACCCGTTAAACCCTGTATAATGTGATATCTCATCAGATTTTTTTTGTTTTTCTTTCTTTTTTTAAAAATGTTTGAATTTTTTAGTTGCTCTGATTTTACCTCCCTGGTCTATTTTAATTGTAACTTGCCTTGTAGCCATTAACCTAAAACCAAAAGCGATTTCGATACAAAGTAATTATTTATTAAGAAAGATTACATTTGCTTCGTGCAGATGAGAACTCTCTCACGTAGGCGAATCTCTGCCAACCTTTGTTTACTTTTGTCTGCTATTGGGTGACAAAATCAAAGGAGAAGCTATTGATTACACTCTGTTGCTACCACAGTTATTTGAGTGTAATGCCAAGAGGCAACAAAGTGAGAAAAATCCATCTATAATCATAAATACACAATACTGCTTCTGCTGCTTATGACAGTTAATTATGTAGTTTTCTATGTTTTTATGTTGGGATTGCATTAATTTGTTACCAGCCATGACTCTGATCCAAGGATGTGACCCTGCATTAGTTTAGCACTCAGTACTTTTGTTTTTCAGCCACAAGAATGAGGCAACAGCAACAAACAGGGTTTGCAGAGAGAAAGAAAAGCTCTCAGATTATGTGCTTACTCTAATAAGGAGCAACATTACCTTAATATGTAAGATAGCTTGAAATTCCAGTGTGACATCTAAAGACCCATTAGTGCATTTGCATGTATGACTTAAAATTAATTAGAGTATTAGTGAATGTTTCTAACATTTTATCCAGTATATTATATACACAAGAGAGCAAAATGATGTAATGAAGTGCAATACACCACCTATACCAACAACCACTGTGCCATCAATAATAGAAATTATGTAGAATTTAGAGTGGAAATGTTTTCTTGGATTGCATTTTATTTTACTGTGTGTACCTAGGTGATTGTATGGGCTTCCTCTTTCTTCATTCATTTTGATGTATGATTGATCATATTCTTTCTCTTTTGCACGATCACTCTCGGGCAGAGCAATCAGTTTGTCACTGAGCTGCCATTCCAGAGAGAAATTAAGGGGCCCTCCTCTTAGCTCAGCCTCATGATTGGTCCTCATTACATTATCATTACCTTATCACACCCTCTGGTCCATGGCTCTTAGTGACTCCTATTGTTTCAGCCAGGATTTGTAGGGGAGGAGAGAAATGCCTGTGCCACCCCCAAACTTCCCTCCATCTTATGGTCAATCCTTTCTCATTTTTTTTGCCCGCCTTAACTGCCCTTCCAACCCTTTCTTCTGTCTGACCCAATCCCTCCTCCTTTCTCTGATTTCCCCAACATACCACTCCAGTGATTTATTATGTTTGTAAAAGTCAAGGTAGTTATCCTAAATGGTCTTTTAATTAGGCTCTGTATTGGGCAGGCCAGGAGTTCAGAGGCCTAGAGAATCCCAGTAGCTCTGTGGGGCCTGGATCCCCTGTCATATATTCCAGCAGCACATTGTTAAGACCAAGCTTTGTCTGCCTTTCTTGTTTAAGGAGCTTTATTGAAGTTTTTTGCTGAGTGGGAGTCATACTCTTGCGCTGCCCATTTGGAAAAGAAATAGTAAAAACTTATAAAAGACTTACATAAGATTTGGCTTACTTAATATAGTGAATCATATAAGGCTTATATGATTCACTCATGAAAGTGGCCACTTTCTCATTACTTTCATAAATTCTTTTAGGAAGTATCCAAAACATACAAGTTTCATTTATATAATTTTTCAAGGGATCTTATATCTGTTTTCACTCTTGTATGCTTTTCATATAAGTTTCACACAAGACAGATACAAACTTTATAAGATTTATATATATCGTTTCCATATCGGTGTCTTTATAACATATGCTTAAAACTTCTGCAATATCCACCTATGATTTTTTTAAGGATTGTAAAATGGATGCACTTGTTGACACAAGATCGTACTTAATATAAAATGTCACAGTCCTATGAGACATTGCTATATGTTAGGGAATTTTCCAGAGAACATCGTATCACCAGTCATGCATCAAATCAGCCAAAACACATATTAGTCATTGTAATGCCCTATTATGTGCTTTGTGTTGTGTTCTCTGGCATTGTGATTCGCTGTCATTAATTTGTACATCATCCGAGTTAGAAATGTCACAAAGGTATGAATGCACGTGCTCTTCCTTCACTGTTGCAGAGTATGGGTATATATGTCTACTGGTGTGCATCTCACACATACATTGCTCAGTGTATACTGTGTTTGACCTATTGGTTAACTGCCTCGGTGGGCCGCTGATTGACACATAAGATGGTGACTGGATTTTAAGCCTGGTGTCTGACGTGTGACAGCCCACACCATCCCTGCTAATCACCTCATTTACTCATGCTACAACTCTTCTGCCTGGAGCCACGTAATACAACATTTTCTCTACTGCTCAGTCTTCAACAGATCCATGTTGCTATGTACCTTTTTCAACTGTTGACTCATTTTCCATATATGAAAGGCACTGAATGCAGCAGCTTTCTATTTATCATCTATCTGGATTAATTTGCGATGCGGTGGTGGAAAGTGACAGATGATTGACAGTGCTACCTTCTCACCAGCTCGGTCAGGCAGCTGCATGTCTCCCCAGCCACACATAGATTTGTCCTGGTAACTAATTTCTTAACTGCTGTTTGACTCATGTTTATATCCCCTAACATTTCTGGAATGCGGAAAGTGTTTGTTTGCCAGCTCACAGAGTGCAGGGATTATTTATAAGAAAGTGATCTTGTATTTATTAGTTTTGATTTTATTTTTTAAATGGTGGGTTTTGGTTTTAGCAAATAAATTCCCCCATTCCTCAATCGGTATTCTGTTGGTTCTTTTTTTTAAGGTCACCACGATAGCTCATGATGTTTCTCAGAGTTCAAGCTGCGGTTGATGAGCAGTTATTAGCCACGACGCCTGAAGCCAGAATTAACCCGTGGCCCTGTCTGAGCAGGTAGAGGAGTGTTAGGTGTTTAAGAGATTAACACATACTCAGAGAGACATATACAAACAATACTTGCTCTCACACACATACAGATATTGACATTCATGCAATGGCACAAGCAAATATGTATTGGGAAATGCGGACACGCCTTAATTGTTAGACACTTTCTGAAAACACGCAATGTGTGTGAGAATTTTCCCAGCCACTCAGCTAATACAGGCTTCTGTCAGTGGTTTCACAAGGGAAGATGCTTTAAGGATGAAGCCCTGAAGAATGTAGATAGTACATTCTCTTTACCTTTGGTTGACCCTTTAAACTGACAGGCAGTGTGCCCGTGGGGTACTGGGGTGCCAGAGGTAGGTCACGGGGTCAAATACGCCATAAGACAAGGATTTATGTCAAATTAGTCCTCTATTAGAGATGCTATGCGGAGATGTCTGTTGCTCTGACAAGTCATTTGCTATGGCGGTGTAGTGTATACATAGGAAAAGTTTCATGTCATTGAGAACTGTTATATTTTTAGAGTATTTTGCATTATTATAAAGAGAAAGGAGTCAGTGAAAGGAAGCTGGTGAAGAAAGGATGACACATGACGACAAAGGTCATATAAAATATAGGGATTACATCAGTTTCTTACGTGTAATAATATTGCACATCCTGGTTCATTTGTATGACACCACTTTTTTGAGGTGTCAGTCCAAACCAGCCTCAGGGTCAACTAGAAATGGCTTAACCATTTCTGTCACCTATCAAGGTACAGTTAATATTAATTTCTGCTATTTACTTTGAAGGATAATAGAATAGAATAGAATAGAATAGAATAATCTTTTAATTGCCCCACAAGGGGAAATTTGGTTGTAACAGCAGCCAGAAAGACACATATACAACAAACAGGACACAGAACAGAAACATACACAATTTTTCTTACATATTTACATTAAGGATAATGGTTAGTATAAACAGAGTACTGTACAGTTATTAAATTAAATAAAAACATGATAGCTTCAGATTTTCTTTGGACTTTGGTTGCTTTTTCACTTATTTTCAGCATAAATACTTTTAATTCAGCCTCTTAATGTTGACCTATGACTTATTCAAGCATCTAAAAGGAACCTAACTAGAATTAGAAGGATGAAACAGTGTTTTGTCCGTACATGACAGACAACTTGTCAAAGAACTCATTTTAAATAGAATCTTTTGTCACATTGTTACTAGCTGCCTGTCAACATTTCATTTGTTTCCATTTTTTTTTAGCTGAATCAACAAAAAATTCCAAAGATAAAATCGTTTGACACATATGAAATAATATTTTTTCACCAACAAGGTGAAGTTCTAAGAGCTAGTAGCTGAAAATGACATATCTCAGCATGGTGTGCAGTGTGCCTTTAAAAAATCTGGGAAACTGGACAAGTGGACAACAACAGAGCTAGCAGACCAAAAAATAAATTTAAAAAATCTACAGCAGTCGAACAGTATCTGAAAGTCGTGTCCTTGAGAAATGGCAAAAAATGCAGCAAAGACTTCTGTGGTCATTATGTGTAAAGGAGTTCAGGATAGAGGAAGAACATGGAGTGTCGACAGCTGTTTGTAAAACATGGTAAAACATGGTGGAGGCTCGGTTATGTTTGGGACTGCCCTTCAGCCACTGGTGTTGGAGGTTTTGAATGTCCTTCAAGAAGCCTGAAGAACAATTCCTGAAGACTACTTAAAGAAAAAGCTTGTCTAAGAGAATTCAAGCTGCGTTGATGGATGTGGTCATACCAAATATTGACTTTCAAGCTTGTTAGAACTGCTCTAAATCTGTTTTTGATTAGATTTTTCTATTATTTAAATCTCCATATATAAATGCTATTAAAAATGCAGAGTCTACCATATTTGAACTTTTTTTACACTATATTATATATTTACCTCTGACACTACCAACTCCTCTCTCCCAAAACTTCTCAAGTTGTCCAAAAACCTTCCATCCCACATGACATGAACGTGAGTAATTAACTTT